CTATTGTTGATATAGCTGCGCGATTTCTGAGTATAACAGGCAGTTGCTTGAATTGTTCACTACAAAATCGTCTACTTATCAATAAGTTTGTCGCAAAGAATTAGTTCCTTTGTTTTAACCAAGGCAAATATTCTTCTTCCATTTCCGACTTTTTGTATTTTGTTATTGATCATTGGTTTGTAATATGTGATACACTCTCATGTCTCGTGATTTGTATACGAAGAGGTTAAGTGGCCTCGTACAAACATCACTCATTCGCTAATACGGAATTCATCGCTATTCCGCCTGAAGACAGTGTAAATATCGTTTATTATTTGCTAAATTACTGATAAAATTATTTCCATTCATAAAAAGATTCTATTTCTATACCGTTTAGATATACATACATATATGTGCGTATATATATATACATATGTACATATATATATGTATATGTATATATACATATACACCTTTCCTACTGCTTTATACTCAACATGTTTCGCTAATTTTTTCGAAGTTTTCAATTGATCCCTGAAAGGACAATAACTATCATAACAACTTTTCTATAACATAAATTCTATGTGTGACTGAATTCGGATCGGTTGAGATAATGCGGTGTCGACAATCGACTCTACCGTTAAACCCTGAAGTATTTGCGCGTTCCTGTGCTTAACTTAACCACCTCAGCTGGTAACTTAATACGTAGCATTGTCATTTTCTCCATATGGAGATACAATTGCATTAGATTGCTATGTGTAATTCGAACACATAACCGCACAGATGCGTTTTGCTAACAATGACTTGTATGGTTCGTTATGGGTACGGTTTCCGATCTAATCACATCCTACAAACCTGTGATTATTGAAAAAGGTCGTGTGTGCGCTTCCTATACCGCTGTACCTTACCTTCAACAAGGTCACGACTGAATCCTTCGTTTCACTGTAACGTTCCCGGGCAATAAAACGATCTGCTAATATGGGCTCTTGTTCTTAAAGTGTCCGAGTTCAGTATGTGTTCGTGCTGCGTTTAACTCTATTAGTGCTGGAAAGCTCATTGATCTTCGAAAATAATGTTCTAAGAATTTGCCTCGAAAAGGCTTAACCTCGAATGTTTTTTATTTACTAGTCTAGAGCACCATCAAGAGCATTTAATTTTTAGAATACCGTTTTCATTGTGATATGTAGGCATCAAATTACACTAGTAAATTATGTACATTTATTTCCGTTGCTTGAAAGAGTAACTGGAGGGGTATGCAGCCGTCAAACAACTGGTTGATTCCGCTTCAGCTTCTTACCTCTGAGGTCGGCATCGTTCGTGCCACCTGGACTATCTTATCTTTTTTATATAAATCCCTTGAAACTGAAAATACTATGGAACTATCTTCATGTGATTACTAGAAGATGCGAAATGACTTCAGAAGAATGTGAACAAGTAGCGGCAGTACCAGTGAACAGAGCGCCAGTCGAAATACGATACTGGATTGAGAACCGTCCGACGCCGGATTAGAGCGGACAAGCTGCATTTGCTAACACAACGGAGAACGTACACACAAAAATGCTGAATTTGTCGGGCAAACGTCTAAGTTCTCCACACGAGAACCAAATTAATCATTTTGTGAGTAACACTTACTTTGAAGCACCGCTTTTTATGCTGAGGTTCATCAATCGAAAGCCACCTAGCTTTATGACAAATAAAATACCGTTGTCCTCACATTCATGGTCCATACGATAAAAAATCTTGAACATTAATTAGTCCCTGACTAGTATCTCAAAAATTATTCATATACACTAGGCTCACGAAATAAATCCCGAGTAACACATCTATGGTTCATATTTGGGAAAAGTCTCAAATTGATCTGGATCACTGAACTATGGAAGCTAGTTGTCCTAGTTTTCATCTAATATACGACTATTTTCGTCAGGACTTTTCATTATGTGGACTACAAGGAGTTGGTGCGCGTTTGGCACGTTATCGCTCTTTCCGAATATCACAAAACTAAGCGAACTTTTTTTCTCGTTTTTCTAAGATGTCAAGTGCTTTTGCACTGTCGTCATTGAGTGAATTCGTGGTTATCGTTGATTCGATGCGTTATACTTGGTGCTTTGCCCGCTGTATACCACGCCTCCTTCCCTGTGGCCTTCCTCTCTAATGAGGCGGACCCGCGCCCTTACGCTCACCCCCTCCTCCCATTTCTGTTGTCGCTCTCTGAAAAAACCTCCAAATCTGCATCAAGCTCTATGGACTTTATTGATTTCTCGCCGTTTATTTATTGGAACTCCTTTTCTTTTCCTAATTTTCAAATAAAGGTTAATTTGATTTCCTTCACCCTTCGGTGAACTCCGTTTGTAACCTCATTCTGCATTTCGGTCACCTCCGTTTACCACAAAGTTTTGTTTCTCTGGTGTATAATTGTTACTAGTAGATTTAATGTAAGTAGTTATATGCAAGGTATTTGTTTTCATATAGATTAGGACAATCGTGATGGATTACCAACCAGGTGTCGTGTTTTATTCAACGAGTTGTGGTTAATACTAAAGATCAAAGCTCTCACCATTTGCTTGCTTTATAGAAGTTTGTTGCTGAGCACACTTAGTGTATACAACACTACGAGTGGTATTAATCAGCGTACACTTCACTTAGCCCTCTCTCGAAGCCCATATTGGATTTCGTATGCTCTCCCACTTTATTACTAACTTCGTTTCTATCCTATTTCATGCATTTATCAAGTACTACGATATTTTCCAGTTGTTAAGAGTGACGATATTGTTGTCTGCTATACGACAACTGACTAACTCTTTCGTTCCCAATACTCCACAACAATTTTACCTAGCATTAACGCAAAGGTGAACTCAACATCCAGAAAATTCACTAATCGTTTTTCGCTACTACTTCTTTTTCGCAATTAGGATACGTTTTATTTAATAATTCTGTACTTTATCCATTAATGCTTTTTTTACTATGGACAATCAGCGTTGTGAGTGAAGTACTCAAATGCGTTGAAGGTAGCAGCGACTCTCGGCCATTTTGGCGCCATCTCGTCGTACCTGAATTACGTTTGGCATGAGCAATAATCGAGAGCTGGGCCTGACGAGGCCCAGGCACAACTTACTGCTGCTACTACTAACTTAATTCAAACACAAGTACATGCATGCAGCAATTGGCGCTGTGATAAAAATTTTCCTCTTCGCTTTTCATTTCTTCCTACGAACACTGCACGGAATTCATAGCATTCTTGCGCCTGTCATTTCATGTTGTTTATCTCATCTGTTATAGTTCATGCATATCTCTAGATTACTGCGATGGTGCTATAGAGACGCTTGCATGCGCCTCAAGGGTGCAGTGTCCATGCTGTCATGTTTGTCTCCTCAACAAGTTGCCGTATGAGCAGCCCATGTCTATGAAGAAGTAAGTACATGACCGCCGTCTCATCGGACACGTGCTTAGCGCTGTTTTCCTCACTTTGTTAGGCTGCCCACAAATCCATTTTGATTCCTTTCCTCTTATTTCTTCTTTATGCGTTTTTCTTTGAGCAAGTATATCGATTCGCATGAAGGGCCATGAGTCTGCATGAGAACAACTCGGCAGAAATTCACGCATTTCATGTCTTTATTAGGCTGTCCAGGTGCAGAAACACTTAACCTTAGTTAACCATTAGGAGAGTAATAACCTTTGTAAATCTATGGCTACAACTTACGTAATCTAAGATTAATTTAGTGCTATCAAAACGTCTCCTTGTTGTGAATGTTATTTTTCTCCGCAATATAGACATGTATTAAAAAGAACGAAAGAAGCTAAGACAGATATCGAACTTTGGTGATGAAGGAATAACAACCATAAGTGTAATATTATTGTTACAGATGAACACATTATTTTGATGTTCGTTTTAAATTGCCAAATCCGAATGATTTTGTTTCTTTTTGTGATAATATGCTGTGGTGATATCGTTCGTAAAATAGTTCCAGGTCGTTCAAACATTAGTGGTATCACCGATGCTATACATCGTTTGCATTGCCTTTGTGGTCACACAGCTCACTATCGCTCAGGAGTCTACGGTTCGTACAATTGGCTGATAAATAGTACTTGTAAATCTCATATTATTGCGGAAAATAATGAACGTTGTTATATAAGAGTGAATTTGAGAGAAAAGCTGACTAATAATTCGTATAATATCAGTGGATAAAGGAAATGGATTGAGGGGAAATCGTTAAAATGAGGATCGATGCGATTGTCATCCACTTGCCAGACAACTGCATGCTTCTTAAACCCACCTCCAATCCTTGAGCAGGTTACGTTCTAGCCTTCTCTCCTTAGGCGGATTCTACGATCTCCACTTTCCACTTCTAGTTTGTTGTTTGATATAACTGATAGCAGCTAGATATACACTCTACTATGCTTCCATGTTGTAATAAAGAGGAGAACTTTTCCCTTATTGGGTTTTTTTCGATAAAGGATACCTTTCTTTCTTGCTTAAAATTCTTTCACCAATGTCATTAAATTTTTCCATACAAGTTCGGAACACATTTTTTTTCCAAATGCCTATCATGTTCATGTTCATATGTTTAATTTGGGCGCTTTAATTCTCTTAGGGCATAGAAATTCGAACAAATGAGCGTAATGAAAGCTTTCTGTTTAGAACCAACCCATCTTACGCCACTATTGAGTTTGCATAAGATTTTTGTTGGGGAAGTCTGAATTCTTCACGATTTCTCTGGCTTCACACTCCCACTTATCGCAAGAATAATTCAGCCGACGATTTTCAGTCCGCGTGAAACCTAAGCTTAATTGCTCGCCAGAAGCCAATGAAAGATGAGTACAGGAATAAACAAAATACGTTTTAAAAGAGGTGAACATGTCACAAGGCAGCTTGCAAAGTTTTTTCTTTCATTATGTTTCACTAACCAAACCTTATCATAGCCACATGGGTTCAGTTCAGCTACAATAAGCCTTTAAATTTATTCGAAACAAGTAGGACGTGCCATTCATTTCAAACAATTACTCCAAACTACTGTTGAACTCATTTGTTTTTCTTCGATTATTTTCAGTGCAACTACATTGGATTGGTGAAATGCTTCATCAATATATTGGATGAATGGGCATGGACGTTATACGAGCTAAAAGACAATGTTGTCACGATCACCACTGATCAGTGCGCTCATCTTAAAGAGCTTGACAAATGCATTAAGGTGCGTGTTTGATGTTAACGGCAACGATATTTTTTCATCCTTTAGAAATAGTTTTTTTAATTAATGAAAGTTGTACGACTGCTTGAGCTTTTTATCTAATGTAAGTTTTGTAGATGTCATTGTATAATTATGTTCAAGGAGAACTTCTCTGTTACCAGTTTTTGCTCTAGTGGTAATTAGAGAGTATTCTTGATTCAGTAATCGGTATATTTGACTCAGTTTCCAATGCAGAGTTTCGTTCCGTCACATGGTTCTTGGTTCATGCCCTGCTGTCATTATTGTTTTAAGATAATTAGAAAGCACTGTAACAAAGCCGCCGCTTTAAATGTGAACAGATTGGAAAGCGTTCATTATTATGTTCGTACCATTATTCCCAACTATTAGTCAAATATCTCGTGGACTTCGATTGCGTTTGCATGTTAGATTATCATCTCCTCCTTTTTTATTCGTATGACACGGAAATAGAACATCCGATGGATATTCAATTCTTCAAGCGAGGCACCGACAACCATTTGCATATGAAATGTGCTAAACAATCACCTAAGAGCGGTGACCGTAACACCGCCTCTGTGAATTGGAAATAAGCAGATTAGACGATCGGCGTAGAATCACGCTGACGATCTATATGTGTATATTGGTCTTTAAATGTAATATGAACAGCTGTTGAATCCATCAAATCATCAATACCTTATGGGACATCGGCCATATTCACCTCTTAGAATACGAAATTACCTCATGTGACCTCACACGTCAGTTCTCGTTTTCTTCTCAGCCTCTGTGGCCTATTAGTGAACAGATGAACACTTGATGTTAGTTCACGCCAAGGCGTCAGCACTACTATTCACGATGTTGTGTATGAAGGAGTCGAGTGGTCGCTCAGATCGTCCGTCTGGTTGCATTGTGTACGTCTCCCACAGCATTTAATGAAATTAGGGGAGTAAGGATAATGACGTCGCTTCGTTGGCAGTTTGCATGACCCTCCGCCACTCTCATTGTCAAATTAGCCGACTCCAAACGAAACCAACCCTTGCCAATGTGGTTAGAGCGTAATCAAGTCGCAACCAATTGAAATCTTCTCATGCTTACGGAAACTCATCATATGCTTTCGCTTTCTGTTTCGCTTTAAGAAAACTCAGGAAGTCCCAACATTAAGTTGTTCTAGAAATGATTAATTTTTTCTTAAAGGAGTTTGTAGCCATCATAATGAAAGTAAATTTTTCTGCTTTGATTTCACATGATTAATTGGTAATAGGAGCAGACAGTTGACATGCTTTGTACGGCTGAATTCGAGTTAAATGATGCATTTTTAATCTTATAATGGGACATCATGGATACCACTACAAAAGATTGGCGATTGGCCTTGTTCATTTTGACACAGTGACATTGCATCCATTTTTATTGAGTGGCAGATTACCGTAATACTTTGCTTAGCACCATTTCGCAGACACCAGCTGGCCTATTGTAGCGGTCAGATATGATGATTGACAAACAGAGTGAATTGTCAGCATTACGCAGATGTGATTTCAAAAGTGGAACAGAGTAACTGTGCATGTATTGGATTATTGCCAAAGTTTGCCCGTTTTTACGGCCACCAGCATCGCGTCGCAAATTCGATCTGTTGCGAATTTCAAGGATGTGATGTTTATATACTATTTCATAGAGGCTCTTTAAACGAGAAGGTAGAGGGAATATCAGCGCTTCTATTCAATGTAGTAGGTTTTAGCGACGTTTCATAACAGAAAAAGTACAGAATATTTTCGGAATATGTTACCATTTTATTTTCGGAGAGGCAAGGATGCATCATGGATTCAACTGAAAAAGTGTGCTGTGTACGGAGGTGATTTGCTTAACGATTCCATGTGTCTTAAGTGATTTCCTTTTACGGAAAGACTTGTTAATAGAAAACCGGATTTTTGAGGTGAACACGAAAGCTTGAGATGGTCAACGTGGCCAGGTCAGTGTTTGGGTTCCACATGAGTTGTTCAAAAAAATTGAGAAATGATTTTAATCAAATTTACGGACTTTCCAGCCATGACTAAGTTGACCTGTTTTTAAAAGGATGATTGCGAGCGATGGAGAAGAGGTTATACTGCACGTTTGGTGCTACTTTTAGCAATTCTCTCTTATGAGCTGCTTCCAGAAAGTCGAACTATCAATTTGGGTCAATAATGCTCGTATCTGATAGAGCTGAATATATAAATGTATCACAAACTGGCAGAATTTCTAAACTGAAAATCTATTGTGCTTCGTAAGGAGAACGCTCGGCAAATTCTAAGATTTCGCTGTAAAGTTTCATACCATCCACTTAATTCTCTGCATCATTTGCAGAGAATCTCGTTGTTGTACCTTATTCAGATCCTTGTCGAAAGATTTGTATGAGACAAACCTTACTCCTTTGAAAGCCTGCAGAAGTCACTTGCCTCAATTTTTGCTCAGAATTTTCACTTCTTTAAGAATGAGGGAATCATTCGGACTGATAGCGATTGGGCACCGAACGCAATGGCGCATGAATAGTAGATTATTTCTCTTAGATATGATTTTTATTAGAAATGGTTCTGTGTTGAGTTTTTTTAATAGGACTCACTTTGTTTTAAGTTATCCTTGTCTACCATGCGACATGTTAGCAATCTTATCAAACGGCTCACTTTTTCCTTTGTCATACCATTGTCATCAATTTTTCTCTCATGCATAATTTTTGCTCTACCTACACGACCACATTCACTCATCTGTTCCTTATTCGAGAATTTGCCTAGTAATTTTTTTTTACCGCAATAACTATTTCCTAACTACTTTTCAGACTACCGTAGCACTTGACTAAGTTTTTGATTTTGAATGCCTGCTCATAGCAAATCTAATAATGATGCTCTCGGCTTGTTGCTATCATGCAACTCTTCAGTTTTTATGTTATTAGGTTTGTGAGCAATTAAAGCAGCACTTTTGCATTTTTAAACTCTTTTACCCCTATAAACATGTGGAAATTCTTTCCATCTGTGATGTACTAGCTGAGTTCATTGAACACTTGAGTTCGTTGTTCGAGCAAAAGATGGTTTTCGGATTTGCGCCAAGCCGGTTATCCTGCAACTTCAGCGAATATTTTAGTTTTCCGTTTAATTCGAACAGCCCTCTCTGTCGTGATAGTCTTTGGAGAGCGTTTCATTATCGTTGTAGGAAATTTATCTTTCATAATCCATGTGAGAATAGAATGACTTTTTTCCCTCAATAGTGGAGATTTTTGTCTTTTTTTTTTCGTGAAATCTCATATGGAACTGGTAAACTACATACTAAATGATGACGGAGTGCTGCAGGATGTTTCTAAAAATCCGCTTCCGCTCTCACTCTATTCAAATGGAATTCCATTTGCCTAGCGATGGCGTTTGATTGCCGTTTGAACGTCATGAGCCTCAAGTGAAACGTGGATTGCTGAACGCCTATCCTCGTTCGTTTTAGCTTGAAGGGAAGACTAGTGGTCAGTTATAGGTAGTAGGTTTAGTGCAATTTAAATACAGTCAACTTAAAGGCTCATAATGCCCAAAAGCCTGAGTAGTCAATCTTTTAGTACTCCGTACTAATAGGTTTAATCCCTCAATATTTAGTAACTACTATTGATGAATCGTCAGAACTGTTTTGAATTAGCAAGTTAGTGGGTTAAAAGTGGTTCTTTTCTTCGTTCCACGCTATTAAGGGCTAACCAGCTAACCTAAATTTCCACCTATTCAAGTATTCAAAGTTTGAATGACTAGATCGTTAACGTTTCATCTATTCGTTTCCAAAATACGTCAGTATACACTTTGTACTCCTGGAAATCGGTTTCATTATTGTTAGCGCTTTATCCTCATCAACGGATGAAACGCTATGAAATCCTATACAAATCGCGTTTTATGGGACCAATTTTACTCTGATTCTGACTTAATTTCGTGTGAATGGAAAGCGATAGTAATTGTTTTTGAATGACATAAAATCAATGGAAAGTAGCTGCTATTGAAAATTGTCATAGGACGGAATTCGATGCAGTTCGGGACATACGTACAGTGATAGAGAGATAAATGTGGCATCAAACACCACTCCATGTTTCTCGCATTCAAAAGCTGTTGTAGGATAGGGATTTTAGTTTTTCTTTTCCTTTCCTTTTTCGGTACATATACTTGGCACGCATTCGTGGTTTTTCATCATTGTAGAACTAGCGCATTTTTTTTCTCCTTCCTTAACAAAAAATCACAACACATATTTGTCAACGTACTAACACTTCCCTGTCGATAATCTTATAACGCTAAAAGGGATCTTCGGCGCTGCATTTTTCAATCTTTACGCCGTACTAAAATTACATTTTCAAACATGTGCGTGAACTTAGATACTTGGATGAGTCGTCATCACGAATAGCGTTGACGCAGCAGAATTTTCATTAAACTGATATTTTAATGCTCACTGGATAAGTGTGTTACCCTTTTCAGAAAGCAATCGTACCTCGACGTTCTAAAGTCACAATCCTAGATAGGCACTGGCCATTATGTATTACGGGGTTTTTCACATTATGACTACACTTCCATCATATTAGTTGTATTTCTTAGCCATAGATTACTCTTAGCTGTTTTTTCTAATGTGTCTCTAGTCTCGAATTTGTCTCCAACCTCTATGAAACTGTAGCAATGAGCACCATTTTATGATCACGAATTCCACACCGATTGTCGAAGCGTTTATACATCATCCAATTTCTCGTTCATGTTGATCACGAAGGCAGTGGTATCCGTGTGGATGTGTTCATCCACCACATGGATTTTTCTTTTGCTTTGCTGTTTTTTTTGTCGTGAACATCAACTACGGCTGTTAATTATATTGGGTTGTAATTATGACGTATCGGTTTTGCTGGTGGGAAATTGTGGATGAGGTTATTGGGCAGCGTAATTGCGGTAGGTTTTGATGTGTCGTAATCGCCTAGCTACGTACTAAGAACCATTAAAGCAATACACCAAGCGAAAGAATTGTTCACGTGAACATTTCGATAAAAATGAATGCCTTAAGTAAATCATTCTTTTAAAGGAATTCGTTCGAATACTTATATTAGTAAAGTCAGGACGCCTATACGTAAGGAATTGGAATTGCTCAGATGTGCACTATTTAGATGATCAGTGTTGTGCATAATGATGGGGCTATCATTTCTTTTTTCTCAGGATGATCTTGAAGAGCAGCATCAATGTTCACATCGTGAAGTGATCGAGGTGTCGAATACAGTATCTGATCTTCTCACCCATAGAAAAGATTCCGGATCATTTCTTAAGGTAGCTAACTAATTGGGTGATTGAGTTGTTTCTTAACGGCATTCTGTTCAGAGCTACTATTTACTCACCTATGCGTGCTCTGCCGAAGGACAAGAAATTCTCACAAAACATAGAGATTGCTTGAAATCCGTAAGTAATCTTTTACTGGACAGTTTAGATGTCGGTTTCTTTAGCATTTACCGTCGAATTTGCTACTAGTCATCACAAGTGGTTGTAATCAATGCATTCGTTTCCATAAGCCGTACATTTGTCGTTTACGCTTTGAGGTCAACCTGTCGAACAGATGTAGTGTAGGTGTAACAAGGTCACCCCGGATCAACGGTTGACCGGATTCTGCATGACATTGTCGGGATTTTAGGAGAAAATTGGCGAAATGACATTATCAGCGGGAACATATTTAAGCGAGAAGTTTCTTGATCATGATGATGATGAAGAAGCTTGTATAAATGTGAGTGTCGTCCTATTTTTCAGCTCATCCAATTTAAAAATATCTTATTTTAAATTGGGCGCTTAATTTTAGTTGAATCTGAAGCTACAAGAGTACATCAGAGCGATGAGCAACTTATGCAGTAAGCACGAAGCTGCACAGCTTATGTGTAAATCCCTAACGAACATGTTCAAGGTTGGTTTACTAATACTCATTTTTTAAAAAGAATGTTCTTTTTTGTTGGAGGTATTTTTTCACATTAGTAGTATGTTTTACGGTTTTCCTTCTTCCGATCAATTTTTGTTCGAATAGTCAGGGTTTTCGTTTTTTATTACCATTTAGTGTCCTTGCTATTGTATATTTAGTGAGATGATATAAATCGGAGGATGTTTATACTTGTGTTTCCTGAGCACACTCCTCTTTTATGACAGTAGAGTATTACGGTCGTCCCCAGATTCTTGGAGCACAAAGGGAAGAATTCTTTAATTCCTCTGTCAAAACCAGATTGGAAAGATTTCTAACGTTAACATTGCTTGTCTATACGTGGGTGTATCATTTCTCTACATGCTTTCTTGCCTTTTTTTCAGTAACATTTATATTTCAGGGTTTGCATGTTGATAAACTTGACAAATGCGTTTTGGACTGCAAGATACCCGAAGAGGAAACGGAGGAGGAAAACAAGGCATGTGCACTTTACATTTCGTTAGAAATGCATATTCTGCTTCGAATTTTGACAAAAGCTTCAATAAAATGTGTTTAATGAACCTTAGAGCATTATTTGTACGTAGTTTTTGTTGTTGTGAATGTACTGAAGCAAATACGAGGTTAAGACAAAAGGATCCAAGACTAGTGAAACATGCTAATCTAAACATTTTCCTTTTCTTTTTTCCTTCTCATTTACCAGGTTAGCTGTCGGAAAAGTAAACGCACTACATGAATAGAATAAGACAGATAAGGTTGAGCAGTGCTCTTATGTGCGCCAATCGATGATGATGCTCGTGTCACTAAGAGAGAAGTGTTGCGGGTTTCTAACAAACCAATAGAGTTGCAAAAGAGGGAAAAACTGTTGAAACGAAAGCTAGTTGGGTTCGTTCGAATACGTCGTATTTCATTGCAATATAGTGCTAAATATCCTAAATCCCAAACTGCGCCAAACTATTTTTTTACTTATTTTAGCTTCAATCCGGAAGTGTTCTTAGGTGTGAAGGATTGGGTAATTTGTCTACTACTTCGAAGCTATTGAATTTTTATAGTCAGCCTTATGTTATGCACGAATGTTGTTTAGGTCGAGTCATCAGATGTTCAACCAGTACAAAGTGAGCCGGATGCGTTAGGCCCTGTTGACGGAGCGGCAGTTCTTAGCGTTTTTGCCTCATTGCTGGCTATTCTTATACGATAAGTAAAAGCATAGTTTATGAAATAGTTGTAGTGAATTGGAAATTCAGATTACAGCAATTTCTAGAATCCAACCGTTGCAAAAGCTATTTGCCATGTTTCTGTGCGACATCGTTTTATTAATGTGAAAGTTGTCATAATTGCAAATGTTACCGAATGGTTTCAGAAAAAAATAAGAGATGAAGAATGACCCTCACATCAACAGTTTAACCCTGGTGGGGTTTCAGTAACTGAAATGAGGCGCTCGTAGGATGAGCTTGTAAATTATACGGATAATAAATAATCACTAAAAGGCTGCAGCTGCTATCATTACCGATGAATGTTTAGCGTAGTTCTAGTCTGTTAGGCATAGCAACAGATTGCTTTCGCCAAAAGTGACTGCCCTTTCGTTTTCAGTTTGTATTTGTGATAGACATTTCTGCGTTTGGTTTTCATTGTGGGATATTATAAAAGAGTAGCGGAAATGTAAGTATTTCATGCCGTTTCGTTCCATTGCCTCCTTATGATCGAGAGAACTGTCGAAAACGAATCATCTATTGGAAATTTAGGAGCACAGCGTTTTTCTATGCAAATACAAGACCACAGTTTTTTTGCATCTATGCTCAAATTATTCAATAATCCGGAACATAAATTTCTTCTGTACTCTTTCAGCTTTTCGAATCTTTTCCAATCTTCTTAAGTGAATGCCTAAATTTATTTGATTCGAAAAAAAGCAAAAGAAATCCTCCATAGCGCAACGTTTTTATACCATAGATTGGACTAGAGTCTTAGCCACGTTATTCATTCACTTGCTATGACTTCTTTTTTTTTTTTCGTTTTTTCCTCTTTCTTTACGTCTTCGCTTTGGTTGTGCTATAGAATATCGACGTTTTCATGTTGCTAATCTTGTAATATTCTTGTTATGTATACTTCAAATTAATAAATTATTCACTAGAAATATGAGAAAAAGTTACCATCAACGTAAATATTATTGTCTGCACTAAAGTATTTCACATTTTCCTCGTATATTTCCAAGTAGAACTATTTGGGTTTAAAGAATTCCAGCACCATTTCATACATTTTGGCTATTCTACTCTACATATAAAAAACGTAAAGCAGGATAAAGCTCTCGGCGTTGATGCACTATGCATTCGACTTCATTAAGCATCGCTGGAGGTGATTGAATGCATATCTGGGCTTTACAATGACTCGCAGTGGCCTACCGATGTATCGAGCCAGTGCTGCTATCCTCCCAGACAAGTCTGGTACCAATTTGCCGACCCCGGAGGGATGGAGGGTTTGGCAGGCCAAGGGAGCGGGGATCAATTCCACGTGTGTGTTGCAGGGCGCCGCCGACCACTGCACCACATGCGCTTTTAACATATATAAATTTTTTTTGTTTTGTATGTTGTAATACATATATGTAAGTGAAGAAATTTACGGAGTTTAGTTGTATCATGCTTAGGAAGAAGAAAAACGCGGAGGCAATCGAAACCGAGGGTGAATATATCTCATTGGGATCATGGTTTCTTGTCTATGTTTTGCAAAAACATCGCGAAAGTCCATACTTTCCTCGAAAGTAGTGTGCCTTTCTTTGTACCACTGTCAACCTTAGTTCGTCTGAGCACTTAGTAAGCTTGACTGTACATGGAGTTCTACACAGAACATTTTTACTACGTTATAAGTCTGCAAAGGACGGGGACGAATCTGATGGTGAAGTGAAGTGCTTTCGAAAAATAAAAAAGGTAATCATGAAAGCTTCTAATCCCGATCAGCTGTACTGCTTTTACAATATATCATTAACACTTTCCTCCTTGTATGGACACTATAATGTCCATAGCGGTTAGAACCAGATGACTGCATGAACACGAAAGTGTCCATATTCAGTTTAGTGGGTTCAAGTGTTCCTTTTTTACCTCACTATGTATGTATTTATTCAACAGCTAATTGAAAGCAGAGCAAAATGGGACGGGTGAGAACACAAAAGCAATTCTCTGCACTTAACGATTTGCAGAAAACCTTTTTTCGAAAATGTTCATTAACCGATAATTTGACTAACAACTTATTGTTACTTCATTTTAATTACCATGGTTATTATACATATTGTGTGGATATGAAAATGCTGAAATAGACTTGTCATAAACTGCAAAATACTTCCAACAGTTCGTATTCGTCTCAAATTCCCACATGTCCCTAGCTATTAAGAAAAGATATTTTGTTGTCAGAAAACCAGAACAGTCTGCATAAGACGAGGAATTCCTCCTGTGGGCCAGCGTCGAAAAATGACGCTGGGACACAATGAGCTAATGTCCTCGCAGTCGCCCCACACGCTAATTTCATGGTCTGCCGAGGTAGGATTTTCTCAGGTTATAGCAGTTTTCTTTCTGTTTTGAATAAAAATCTTTTCGCATAGCACCATATGGTGCATCGAACTTTGTGTTGAAAGAGATTGGATAACGATCTCCCCATTTCGAAATAGATAAACCGTGACAGGAAGTGTTACGCTTTTTTTGGTACATGGATGTCGAAGTGGTGTAGAAAACGCGAAAAACTATCGTGTTGAAAATCTGGAGATGGGCGAGTAAAATTAGACTTATACTGGACGTATGCGTCAGTTTTATGCAGGAGGAACAGTGAGACCGTCGTCGACATCATTATTAACGTCAAGACAAGTACGACAAGGTCGCTCTTAGTCCAATTTCAGCTCCCCGAACGCCATATGGGAGCGCCCCTTGTACTTTTCTAGCTATCTAGCTCGAAATTATATGGAGAACATTCGTGTAATAAATGCACAAATTGAAAAAGAAATAGAGAAGTTGAAGAACGATGAAGAGCAGGAGCGCTAAACTACAATAGCTACGAGGACTGATGGATGTAGCCTACCATCAGTACTACATGTCTTTTTATAGTTTTTGATAATTTTTTCTCGTTTTTAATACTTATATCGATACTTAATTTTTTCTGCTTTTAGATATTAAAATTTCCATTGCGTATTTTCCAAAAGAAAAAGAAGCCTTTTACTTGTTATCTTAGGACACTTGTAGAAGAGTAGCTACATAGACTGTCGTTCTAAAGGGGATGGATATGTATGTGCATAAAGCTTTTAAAAATTTTTTGGCACTTAAAATTAGCTTAAAAATCAAGCTTCGAAGATCGTTAGGACAGACGTTGCTCTCAAATTTTCGAGCACAGGTGTGGCCATCACCATATTACCGAAGCATCCTGAGCGATATCATGTCCATCTGAGCGGGGACGTTTGTTCAATCACTTCGTTGCTTGCTTGAGATAGGAGTCTCGCGGACGAAAGCAAAAAAGGAAGATTTGTGTGCTTCGGAATATGAGCGTTTTATTATGGTAGAATAAGACTATTTATATCTTTCTGACCCTGATGGCATGCAGAAAGTGCTCATCATCAGGTGAAATATCATTCATTCCCGTGTTGATCGTTGAGTGACTCGAACGTGAGCCAGCAAGTTCCCCATTTGTCTTTGTCGCGTAGAACGTAACCTTATGGGTACTGTTCACTCTGGAAACTCAGCGACTATTATGTGATTGTTCTAGGTTCTTCGTATAGAATTTCGACCTGCGGTTGCGATGGTCTTCCTACTGCGCAGCTGACATCCTGTGGAGTCCAATCGCTAACATCTCTTTCTCACCTGTTATCTTTCAGATGTTTGCGTTCCGCAACGGCCTGCCTGATTTTGTACACTTTTTAAGGGAAGACGTATTTGTTCAAAATTGAAGGACTTAATAATTTTTAGAATTGAAATGTGTTAATTAACTATTTTATGCAGTACTTTGATTCTCAGTTGATATCTTTACAAGCTTCAAGAATATTGTTCTTCAGGCAGGACAGTTATATTAGATTTCGAAGCGGACGAAGACATCTCTTGCTGCTTAAACAAAATGCCTGAAAATTTATGGGATATCTTCAAGCACAGATTTCCCTTGTATGAGGGATCTCGGGCCGGTTAGTTGCGAGGCTACGTCCCACGTTCCCGGATGGCGGATAGAGGATTATTCGCGGGCCAAAAGAGACCTTGCTTCCCCGAGGCGCAGATGGATCCAGGGGATGGACTACCAGTTTCTGCTGCGCTGATTTGGCACATACTTTCTGTATTTGCTAGGCGTACTCATACATGCGTGTGTGGGTGCGATCTCGTCTGTGCGGATTGTATTCTACGAGTCAATTCGGCCAAAAGCCTGCAATCAAGTGACTGGGAAGTATAGGCGGTTAGGAGTCGCCTCCAACAAATAAGATCCATGTCCACTCTTGAAGAGCCTAGCAAGCTACTCGTGAGTGTACCTATCTCCCACGTTCAGAGCCCAGCAAGCTACAGGTGGGTAACAAAAGTGTTAAACACAGTTAAAAAAAACGGGCCTCATTCCCCTAACCCCGAAAGGGGCCCAATTTCGCAGTGCTGCGCAGGACGAGTACGGAGAGGCTGCTAAAATCTCAGGGCCAATGGAAGGTGCCTGGTTTTCAAAGAACTGTGGTGACGATCTGTACCTACAATGGACGTACACTTGCATGCGAGTCCTCGATAAAAGACTTGCTCACGCAAGCAAGAAGGATGAGGTACGACGTCATCGGCCTGACCGAGACGGGAAGACGCCAGCCTTTCAACGCCGTCTATGACACCGGAGAAGAACTGTTCTTCGGTGCATGCCACAGTAGAGGAGTCGGAGGTGTCGGCGTTCTCGTCAACACGAGTTTGTCCATGAACATCGGTTCATTTGAACAACTTGCAATCCAAATCGGCGTTTACAATTAAAAAGACGTGGATCAATTCCGGCTTTGACAATCTTCGTCCTTTACGCCCCGATGTCAAGCTATGACAAAGAAGAAGTCGAGGCGTTCTATATTGACTAGGAGAAGTTCTACAGAGAAGACCACGGATCATCATTGGAGATTTCAACGCCAAGACTGGACAGAGAAGAGCGTCTGAAGAACGTCACATCGGGACCCACATATTAGAATAGAGCGAACAGGGTGAGCGGCTGTCTGAGTTTATTATGGCGACC